CAGGACCAACCGTCCCTACCCCTGGTGCTGCAAGTGCAGAGACTACGGTCCCATCTGCATAGTTGTGGGGCTTAACATCTCCCCTTGGTGGGTTAGGCTGCCGCTGGAGAGAGGGTGTAACAAGCTCCTCTCTCTGAACTGTGGACTGCCGCTGGGGAGAGGGGGTAACCTGCTCCTCTCCCTGACACTCTCTTTGCTGGTGGAGAGGGGGACCAACTGTCTCCCCTTTCAATATTTTGTCCTGCGGCTGGGGTGCGAGACAGATGGTCTCTGCTTCTTGGGGTACACACTGCCGCTGGGGAGGAAGGACGGCACCTTCAGCTCCCTGGGGTACACACTGCCGCTGGGGAGGAAGGACGACACCTTTGGCTCCCTGGGATACACACTGCCGCTGGGGAGGAAGGACGGCACCTTCTGCTCCCTGGGGTACACACTGCCGCTGGGGAGGGGGGTAACAAGCTCCTCTCCCATACATACTTTCAGCCGCTGGGGAGAGGGGATAACAAGCTCCTCTCCCTGACACTCTCTCTGCTGTTGGAGGGGGAGACTGTCTCCCCTTTCAATAATTTGTCCTGTTGCTGGGGAGAGGTGATAACCGGTTCCTCTCCCTGGAACACTCTCTGCTGTTGGAGAGGGGGACCAACTGTCTCCCCTTTTAATATATTGCCCTGCTGCTGGGGAGCGAGACCGACTGTCTCCGCTTCCTGCAGGACACACTGCCGCTGGGGAGGAAGTACAGCACCTTCAGCTCCCTGGGATACATACTGCCGCTGGGGATCTGGGCTGACTGCCCAGCATCCCGGTAGGGCCTGTAGAGAGACCTCGGTCCCATCCCCACCTGCCAGCTGGGTGTCTTCCCAGGACAAGTCAATAAGGTCTTCCATCTCTGGGGCTGGTTGGGACATATGTGGTACAGTACCAAGGTCTCCTGATAACAGGCTTGGTTGCTGGGGAGGAGGAACTAAACTCAATGCTTCCGGTGGTATACAGTCAATAAGCCCCATCATGTCAGAGACAGGCGGCGTTATACGTTGGAATAGGCAAACATAATCCTGTTCTAGTTCCCACTCTCGGTTGGCAAGAAAAGATAGATCTGGCTTAATGGCATCGATCTCTGTAAGGTCCCAGTTGTCTGCCCGCTCAGCTCGGATGGACCAGAAGCGAGCAATGTCGGTGTCTCCGAACCAGAGACTAGTTTCAATAGTATCCCACAACAAACCAGGGCCATCGTAGTCTTCCCCCTCAATACACTTGTACTCAATCAGCCATGGGTAGAGGTGGTAAACATGCCACCGCAGGGCCCGATAGGAATCATCCAGCCACACCTCAGTCTCAACTAGCGTCTCCAGTTCGCTTACCCGTTCCTCTGAGGGCTGGTTTCCCAATAACGGCATCCGCAGCTCTAGTTGTTCTGCTTGGCGCTGGTTAGTGATCAGGATTTCCTCGCACCGGAAGGGTCGAATTTCGTCGATGTCCTCCTTCCAGAGATCGGTACGAAGCGCCACCCTCCACTCTGTCTCTCTTTCCTCTGGGATAGGATACTCCATACTGCGCATCACATCCTGTAGTCGCTGCTGGAGCCTGGCGTCAAAGTGAGATACTGCACGGCCTTCCATCTCTGAAGAAGTGCTGGTTTTCCCAAATCTTTATGTAGACAGGGACGCTGTATGAACACTAGCGTTGCCTTCAATTTGTAAATCCACGAACTGTGTCTCTGAGCTGCTTTACCTCGCACTAGGATGCCATCCCACCGCTGCCACCAATGTAACGGATCGCCTGGCACCCCGACTGGGTACCTCCGTTGAAGGATGCTCCTAGCGCTTCCTGAGGACTCCAAGCACTCTGGCAGACACCACAATCACCGAACCGGAGAAACAAATAAATTCTCCCAAGCATATGAATGCTGTAGACAGTTGAATAGTAAACCATACGAATAGGTTTACTCTCCTAGCAGTCAAACTGGAACAGCATATAATAAATCCTTACCCCAATAATGAGACGACACTTCACTTTGAGGGTTAAAACAGGAACTGACTGTACTGGCACATACAGCATCTTTTATTCCCAATCCACAAACATAGTACAGCCCACAGGGCGTTACAAAACAACCAATCAATCCATACAATACACCCAGACACTCCCACGCAAAATCCTCCCCTCTGCATGTGATATGATTACTGAACACAATGGGTAATCTCATTATCACCGGCAGAGGAATACAGTTTTTACACAATATTTATAACTTCTAAAATATACATGTCACAAACATAAAACATACATTTTCATAATCAATCCATTCAGGGGAACAACATATTAAAAAATGGCACGAATCAGACCAGGGGTTCAAAAGTTAAGGGAAAGTCCTTTGTGACTAAATGAAGCATGGCTTTCCGGCCCAAACCAGTTTCAGAGTCTTCTATCCTGGAGATTGAATTGAGAAGTAATTCAATTATCTCCCAGGACAGACACAAGACTCCATTATGCACATGGTGAGCACAAAGCATTAAAATATTATAAAATACACAAAGTCACCTTTTATACATAAAACACAGACATGTCACATATCCCCAGATAGCTGGGATCTGAGCGCACAAAACTACCAAATAGCGCTCAGATCCTATTCACACAGTTCAATTGCCATGGAGCTGAAGTCTTTAACTACACAGATGGGCTCCATGGCATAGCTATCTGGGTTAACACATTCACATAAAGTCTGGTCCATAGTCCAAAGGCAAGAGGCGGGCAAGCAGCACCCTCCAAGGACACGTGGCGAGGCCGGTTTCGCCACAATGGTCTTTTCAGAGAAAATGCTTTGTTTATATTACATCCTAGTGATAACTTCACTGGCCACTCCTTAGATAACTGTTAGAGATCCTTCCTGGGTCACAGCTGCCTAAAATGCATCCAAACATTCAGTGTCTCCTCCCTCTGCATGCAGACACTGAACTTTCCTCATAGAGATTCATTAAATTCATC